TCAAAAAGAAGAAATTCTCAAATCTTTCATCATGTAAATAATTTCCATATCTCTCTTTTATAATAAATAACTAAAAAAAAAAAAAAAAAAGAAAGAAATCACATGGCTAAACCTCAAAAATATACTGTTGCAATAAAAACCCAAGTTGCAAAGTACAGTATGACACCATTCATAAATGTTCTAACTACACAAAGCCATACCATTTACTTATTTATTTATTTTTGAGACATGCTCTTGCTCTGTTGCCCAAGCTGGAGTGCAGTGGCATGATCAATGGCTTACTGCACTCCAACCTCCCAGGCTCAAGTGATCCTCCAACCTAAGCCTCCCACATAGCTGGGACTACAGGCATGCACCACCACGTCTGGCTAATTTTTTTTTCTTTGGAGAGATGGGTCTCACTATGTTGCGTAGTCTGGTCTTGAACTCCTAGGCTCAAGTGATCCTCTTACCTTGGCTCACGCCTGTAATACCAGCACTTTAAGCCAAGGTGGGAGTATTGCTTGAGGCCAGGAGTTTGAGAACACCCTGGGCAACAGATAAAGATTCTGTCTCTATTCTAAAAAAAGAAGAAATAAATCACATGACTAGCTCTCCTTGTGCACTACACCACAGCAGGGTATGAGTCTGCTCATAGTGCTGGTATTCAGGCATAAGCCACCTCCTGCCTCTTTTTAAGTGATGGGATCTCATTACATTTCCCAGGCTAGCCTCAAACTCTTGGCCTCAAATAATTTTCCTGCCACAGCCTCCCAAGTAGACAGGACTACAGGAGTACACCACACATTTATTCTTTATGATCACATGCACATATTTTTACAGGAAAAAGAACATCATACCAGAATCAAAAGAGTGAGAACAATCACAGGAGAACAGTCATACTAGAATCAAAAGAGTGGCTATCTCTAAGGAGGAGAGGCAGTAGGAGTGAGCGGGGGAGGGTATAGCTTTAGCATTGTCCATTAAATTTCACGAGCTGAGATCATGCACCTGGCTACCACTAAAGAGCAAAGAAATGAAAAACAGCATAATGCAAATGTTTTAAAGCAGTGTAGCAGTGTTAGCAGTCACAGGCTAACACAACACCCACTGCCAAGCCCTTTTTCTTATCAGTATCCACTAGAGAGGCCAGAAAGATTTCTTTCCCAACCTCCTCTGTAGCTAAAGGTTGCCAGTGACAAAGCTCGGGCCAATGAGGCAGAAGCAGAATTCAGTGGGGGAAACTCTAGGGCAGTTTTCTTTCTTGATAAAGAAATAGATCAAACTGACACCACCCTTACCCCCTCCTTCCTGTGTAAAGCTAGAATAGTCATCTTGCAACTACAAAGTGTTACCTATGAGGACAAAGGGCCAAAGTGCTAAGGATGCTGAACTAGAAAGGTACTAGAAGGCTGAGTCCGAAATGACGTCACTGAACAGCTAAAGCAATAACAGTAGCTGCCAACCTCTAGATAGCTTATAAAAAAAAAGAAATGTAAATCCCCTCATGCCTGTAATCCTAGCACTTCGGGAGGCTGAGCACGGAGGATCACTTGAGTGCAGGAGTTCAAGACCAGCCTGGGAAACAGTGAGACCCTGTCTCTAAAAATAAAAAAGTTAAATACTAAAAAAAAAAAAAAAGAAAAAGAAAAAGAAAAAGAAAATCTCAATGTGTTTCAGCCATTGTCAGACTTTCTCTTAGAGTCTATGTATTTCTAACATACAGTCAGCATTTCCCAAGGAGTTGGAATATAAGCAGGCATTATTTGAAAAGAGGTTCTGGCTCAAATATGGGTCAAATATAGATAAATAAAATTGCGCAAAAATAAATTTTAGGTGGTCGGGCACAGTGGCTCATGCCTATAATCCCAGCACTTAGGGAGGCGGAGATGGGCAGATCATGAGGTCAGGAGATAAAGACCATCCAGGCCAACACGGTGAAACCCCTTCTCTACTAAAAATACAAAAATCAGCCAGGTATGGTGGCATGCACCTGTAGTCCAGAAGGTGGAGGTTGCAATGAGCCAAAATCGCATCACTGCACTCCCTCCAGCCTCGGGACACAGCAAGACTCTGTCTCCAAAAATAAAAAAGGATTTTTTAGGGCCAGTCACGGTGGCTCACGCCTGTAATCCCAGCACTTTGGGAGGCCAAGGCAGGTGGATCAGCTGAGGTCAGGAGTTCGAGACCAGCCTGGCCAACATGGTGAAACCCCATCTCTACAAAAATACAAAAATTAGCTGTGCATGGAGGCTCCCACCTGTAATCTCAGCTACTTGGGAGGCTGAGGCAGGGGAATCGCTTGAATCCAGGAGGCAGAGGTTGCAGTGAGCTAAGATTGTGCCACTGCACTGCAGCCTGAGTGACAGAGCAAGACTGTCTCAAAAAATAAAATGAGAATAATAATGCTTTGTAGACTTAAAAATATACACAAAGAAAGGGAGATAGGTAGAGCTAAACTCCTCGAAAGACCCTGTCTTGTTTAGGAAGAGAGTAAGGGACCAATTAACATTAGATTCTGTTAAGTTACACACACACATTCATCTTTGTAACTTATCAGAGCAGTCAGTAAAGGAAGAGTAAAAGAATATAACTTCTAAGCTAACAGTGAAGAAGTCAATAGAATACGCAACTGAATTAAACAAAAAAGAGAGAATTCTGATAATAGCAAATTAGGCAATTTAAATCAATTCTCCCAATGAACAACAAAAAAAAGCCGACCAAAAAAATTTATTTAAGGCACTAAAGAGCTACCAAGGCAGTGAAGGATGACTCGCCCAAGATCCAGGAGAAGGTAAAATAGAGGTGAACAATGCCTAGCACTGCAGCAGGGACGGGCTGCAGCTGAAAACCAGGGGTAAGGTGATCACATCTGCTGCCCTGCATGCTTTGGTCCCTTGCTCTATTCTTTTTTACCTTTTTTTTTGAAGCTGAACAGACTTTCTTTCTGTTGCCCAGGCTACAGTGCAATGGGGCGATCTCGGCTCACTGCAACCTCTGCCTACCGGGTTCAAGAAATTCTCCTGCTTCAGGCTCCTAAGTAGCTGGGATTACAGGCACCTGCCACCATGCCCGCCTAATTTTTTTTGTATTTTCAGTAGAGACAAAGTTTCACTATGTTGGCCAGGTTGGTTTCGAACTCCTGACCTCAAGTGATCCACGCCTGCCTCATCCTCCCAAAGTGCTAGGAGTACAGGCATGAGCCACCACACCAAGTCTGAACACTAAAACTTAACCTTCACTGGCTACTTTATAGATAACACTCATAGGTCACCACGGCAATGGTCACTTCAGTTATTTTTCAGGAACGTGGGCTAACTCCTGTCCCGTTAAAAGTGGTGGAGACCACTCGCCCTTCAATTAGGCCTGTGAAGGTGCCCAAAAGGATCTTTTGATGCCTGAGGGCCAAAAATTCCACCCTCTGATCATGTTAATGCCTCTATTTTCTGTATATGTGTCCTATGAAATGCCATAAACCCTGACTACACTTGTGCACAACAAATGCGACTTTATTTTCTCCACTGCCAATCACCTTTCCCCACACCTTAAACCACCCCACTTCCCTAACTCACAAATATCCCTCAGGCTTATCTTTTAGGAGGCAGATTTGAGACCTGTTCTCCCACCTCCTCCTTCAGTGGCCTTGCAAATAAGTCTCTTCTCTTTTGCAAAACCTGTGTGTTACGGTGATTGATTTAGCACGCATAGGCAGAATGGACCTAGATCTGGGTGGTAACATACCCACATCAGGAGCTTCACTGTAAAGATACAAAAAGAAGAGATAGAACAGCAGGGCCCCTCACCAAGTATACAAAGAAAAGATTTCAGACAACAAACACAGACCAAGTTTGCTTGAGAGACATTGAATGGAGTCAGACTATCAGAAAACTGAAACAGGAAAGATTATAGTATGGTAAAGAAAAGGGGAAGACGGGAGCAGGAGGGAACCCAGGATACTTCAGTTTTTAGGAAGCGCTTACATTCTCAAAGGCTGCCAATTCTCTTTTTGAAACATACCTTGCGCTGGCCGCTTCTCTCTAGTCCCCCTGCCTCCTGCACAGGGTCCCTGACTCTTGTGACTCTCTCCTGTAGTCCACTCTCAGCACTGCAGCTATAGCAATTATAACCCAAAACCACAGCAATGGACAGCATTGGTTAAACAAAATGAAGCTATGACAGAGGGATTTGCTCCTCACTAAAATTTCACTTCCTTTGCCAAAGGCAATTTTTTTCCCCCAGGTTCTGCACTAGATCAAGTCAATTTGTCAGTCTCAGCTCTCTCAGTCCCGCGAAAGAGCTCAATTACTTCTCTTGGGCAAACACTTTTCCCAGAGAGATCTTATCTATCCAGTTTACTTAAGTATGATTCTCTCTTTTTTTTTTTTTTTTTTTTTTTTGAGATGGAGTCTTACTCTGTTGCCCAGGCTGGAGTGCAATGGCACGATCTCAGCTGACCTCGACCTCTACCTCCAGGGTTCAAGTGGTTCTCCTTCCTCAGCCTCCCAAGTAGCTGGTATTACAGGGGTATGCCACCACGCTCAGCTAATTTTTGTAGAGATGAGGTTTCACCATTTTGGACAGGCTGGTCTCGAACTCATAACTTCAGGTGATCTGCCTGCCTCGGCCTCCCAAAGTGCTGGGTTTACAGGCATAAGCCACCAAGCCCTGCCTGATTCTTTCATTTGGTCACATGCTTGTTATTTGTTTTTCTTTTTCTTTGAAACTGAAGGCCACAGTAGCTAAAGGCCATAACATTAAACACTAAAACTTAACCTTCGTTAGCTACTTTGTAGATAACATTCACAGCTCACCATGAATGCAGCTGCAGTCAACTAACAGGTATGAAGTTACCACTATATTACATGGTTATATTAGGGACTGTTTCTGCCTACTGCAGGCTGGGGAGGAACACGGGAGAAATGTAACAGCACAAGTCATAATAAACTTTATGTATAGGCTTAATACAAAAGAAAACCCTAGAATGAACTCAGCAGAAATATGTTGTTCTGAGCTAATACTACCTGGCTTTAGAGGGAGACACTCTTCCAAAAGTCATTCGAATCCATAAATATAAGAACTTTCTGGCAACGCATCTGAAAGATGGAAAAAAAGGATATACATATTTTAAAATTCCATTGGGCTTACATCATCACTTTTCTGGAAAGGAAAGGAAGGCTTTAAGGTCTCAGGCAGAGGGACGTTAGTATGAGTCAAAAGGTGGTATCATAGCTAATCTTGCATCGAACAGGGCATAGGATGGGCAGATTTATGAAGCTAAAATCAAGCAGATTTTTTTAAAAATGTATTTTCAATGCAAATTGTCAATGAAGAGATAAAAACTTCAAAACTGAGGTGCAGGAAGTACATCAAATTCTTTTGTTCATATTATTATTCCTGCCTATAATGCTTGGCAAATGCCCACTAATCCTGAACCGTCTCCAGTGTAAACAGAGTAGCAGCTGTGTACTCTCAGCCCTCTGTTCAAACCCCTCTTGTAATGCTATGACACCATACCACAGTGATCAGCTCACAGGGTGTCTGTCATTCCCTCTGCACTGTGCGACCCTGAAAGCAGAAACTGGTGCTTTGTGGTACCTCTAGTATCTAGCACAGTGCCTGGCATACACAGAAAGGTGGCTTGTTTTATATTATATAGTTAAACCCCGAGCTCAACTAAAACACACCTTCTCCTGCCCTTTATCTAGTTTATTCTTACATTATCCTTCAGGACTCAGCTTAAACTCTACTTCCTCCAGAGAGAGTAATTGCTGCCTATACTGGTGTGGCTGTTCTTGCCATATGTGCCTGTGGTATCACATCCTTCTCCTCTCATTGAACTAATCTCACTTTATTATTATAGCCTGGCAGTCTATCAAGCCTACCTGATTTTAAACTTTCATGAAGTCATAGACCAAGATTGTCTTATTCACCTTATATGCTCAGCATCTAGCGTAACACCTGACATGGTAGGCACCTGATAAATTTGTTGTTGTTGTTGTTGTTGTTATTGTTTTGAGATGGCACCTCGGCCGGGTGCGGTGGCTCACGCCTGTAATCCAAGCACTTTGGAGGCCAAGGCAGGTGGATCACCTGAGGTCAGGAGTTCAAGACCAGCCTGACCAACATGGTGAAACCCCATCTTTAAAAAAGAAAAAAAAAAAAAAGAGAGAGATGGAGCCTTACTCTCACTCAGGCTGGAGTCCAGTGGAGCAATCTTGGCTCACCGCAACCTCCTCCTCCCAGGTTCAAGCGATTCTCGTGCCTTAGCCTTCCAAGGAGCTGGGATTATAGGTGTGTGCCACCACACCCAGCTAATTTTTTGTATTTTTCATGTAGACAGGGTCTCAAACTCCTGACCTCAGGTGATCTGCCAACCTCAGCCTCCCAAAGTGCTGGCATTACAGGTGTGAACCACCACACCTGGCCTGATAAATTTTTGAATAAAGAAATGGATGTCTTTAATATACCTAATCAAGAGTAGCAGAAGTATTACACCTCTTCTAGAATTCATCAGAAAATCCAAGAAGGAAACAAAAGAGTAGTTCCTTCTTTCTTGGACCACGTTTAGACTTTTTCTAAAAGTCTAACAATCTTGACCGCTTCATATTCCAGGGCACAAGTGGGGAAATGAAAACACTCAATGACAGATTTTATGTCTGCAGATTTCTGAATATCTTCTTCATCTGAACATTCTACTATATAGAACAGGCATCAAGATCTCCAACTAATTGAGATGGGAGAATAAGAACTATTCCCTCATTTTAACCAAGAAGGGAGAATAAGAAAAAAGTACCCACAGACTGGTGGCCACTCATAAGCTCACCTGATGTGCAATTCTCTTAACCGGCCCTGTCGGGTACAAGCATGTGTGCCACGATACTGCACTAGATGACTGGTACTAGGTAACTCCCTCCGGATCCCCAAGGATGCAGAAGACTTCTTATTGGACAGTGTCTTTGGAGAATAAGGTTTCTTAATTGCACCATCCCTAAAATACCTTAAATTTGAAGAGGAAGGAGGCAAGGAGAGAATAAAGTTATCTCTGCATGTGATACAAATACTTTTAATATACAAGCAAAATTAAACAAATAAGCTCACTAAGACTGACAATATCAAGGTTTCAAGGATAATAGGCAGCCCAATCTGACAGAAATATCGGCCAACGACTGGAGGTGGGTACTGCTGGGTCAGCTCTAGGCAGGAACTACAGAGCTGGAGGGTACCCTCTGGAGTCATTAGGCCTAACTTAGTTTTCTTTTGTTTGAGACAGGTTCTCACTGTCGCCCAAGCTGGAATGCTGTGGCATGACCACAGCTCACTGCAGCCTCAACCTCCCAGGCTCTTGCGATCCTCCCATCTGAGCCTCCCAAGCAACTAGGACCACAGATGCATGCCAGTGAGACTTTGTCTCTTAAAAAAACAACAACACGGTGAGACCATGTCTCTTAAAAAAACAACAACACGGTCAGACCGTGTTAAATATATTTATTTAAATAAATATATATTTAAAAACATATATATATATATATATATATATATATATATTTTTTTTTTTTGAGGCGGAGTTTTGTTCTTGTTACCCAGGCTGGAGTGCAATGGTGCGATCTCGGCTCGCCGCAACCTCCGCCTCCTGGGTTCAGGCAATTCTCCTGCCTCAGCCTCCTAAAAACATATATTTTTAAGAGACAAGGTCTCACTGTGTTGTTGTTTTTTTAAGAGACAAGGTCTCTTAAACAGTATTATTTTTTTAAGAGACAAGGTCTCTTAAATAGTATTATTTTTTTAAGAGACAAGGTCTCAGGCCAGGCGTGGTGGCTCACGCCTGTAATCCAAGTACTTTGGAGGCCAAGGCAGGTGGATCGCCTGAGGTCGGGAGTTCAAGACCAGCCTGACCAATATGGTAAAGACCCGTCTTTAAAAAAAAAAAAAAAAAAAGAGACAAGGTCTCACTGTGTTGCCTAGGCTGGTCTTGAACTCCTGGGATTAAGGAATCCTCCCACCACAGCCTCCTAAGTAGCTGAGACTACAGGCGTACAACAAACACTATGATCAGCTAATTTTTTATTTTTTTGAGACAAGGTCTTACACTGTGGCCCAGGCTGGAGTGCAGTGGCACAATCTCTCTCACTGCAATCTCTGCCTCCCAGGTTCAAGCGATTTTCCCGTCTCAGCCTTCCTAGTAGCTGGGATTACAGGCACCCACCACTGAGCCTGGCTAAGTTTTGTATTTTTAGTACAGATAGGGTTTCACCATGTTGGCCAGGCTGGTCTTGAATTCCTGACTCCAGGTGATCCACCCACCTTGGCCTCCCAAAGTGCTGGGATAACAGCCTTGAGCCACTGAGCCTGGCCAATTTACTTTTTTTTTTTTTTTTTTTTTTTTTTTTTTTAGAGACGGGGTCTCATTATATTGCCCAGGTTAGTCTCAAACTCCTGGGCTCAAGTAATCTTCCTACCTCAGACTCCCAAAGTGGTAGCATTACAGACATGCACCATTGTACCTGGCCTGATCTCATTCTTGATCTCTTGCTTCAGAATATCTGCACTGAGGCTAACACACACATATGTATACATAAATACACACATAAGCACACACACACACAAGCACACACACACAGTTTAACTTATTTTTTAAAACTTTTTATTTTTTTGTTTGTTTTCTTGAAACAAGGTCTTGCCATGTTACCTAGGCTGGTCTTGAACGCCTGGGCTCAAGCAATCCTCCCACCTAAGCCTTCCGAAATGCTGAGATTATAGGTGTGAGCTACCACGTTTAGTCTCCTAGATTTTATTTTTTTAGAGAAATTTGAAGTTTACTGCAAAATTGAGAAGAACACAGAGTTCCCACATACCCCTTTCTTTACACACACACACAGCTATATATGCAAAAATAACTATGTTTACAGAAATAAAAGTCAAGGTTAAATATATTTGCAGGGTGGGGGGTAACTATAAACAGTAAGGTAGAAGCATTAATCACAACAGCCGAAAGTTAGAAGCAATTTAATTTTTTTTTTTTTTTTAAAGACAGGCTCTCGGCTGGGTGCAGTGGCTCATGCCTGTAATCCCAGCACTTTGGGAGACAGAGGTGGGCAGATCACGAGGTCAGGAGATCGAGACCATCCTGGCCAACATGGTGAAACCCTGTCTCTACTGAAAATACAAAAATTAGCTGGGAGTGGTGGTGCACACCTGTAGTTCCAGCTACTCAGGAGGCTGAAGCAAGAGGCTCACTCGAATCCAGAAAGTAGAGGTTGCAGTGACCCAAGATTGTGCCACTGCACTCCTGGCGACTGAGCAAGACTCCGTCTTGAAAAAAAAAAAAAAAAAAGACAGGCTCTCAGTCTGTCATCCAGTCTGGAGTGCAGTGGTGTGATCAGGGCTCACCACAGCCTTGACATCCCAAGCTCAGGTGATCCTCCTACCTCAGCCTCCCGAGTAGCTGGGACTGTAGCCATGTACCACCAAGCTAATTTTTAGCTAATTTTGGTTAATTTTTTTTTTTTTTTGTAGAGATGGTTTCGCCTTGATGCTTAGAGTAGTCTTGAACTCCTGGGCTCAAGCAATCCACCAGCCTCAGCTCTCTAAAGTGCTGGAATTGCAGGCATAAGCCACAGCGCCCAGCTCTAATGGTTTATCAATGGATGAATGAATAAACAAAATGTGGTACAGTCATGAATGAAATAGCATCATTCACCCATAAAAAAGAATGAATATAAACTACAACATGAATGAATTCTGTAAACAGGTAAAACAAGCCAGACACAAAAGGAGTTTGAAATAAGGCCAGGTACGGTGGCTTACACCTGTAATCCCAACACTCTGGGAAACCCAGGAGTTTGAGACCAGGCTGAGTAACATGGTGAGACCCTGTTTCTACAAAAAATTAAAAAAAAAAAAAATCAGCAAGTGTTTGTGGCATGAACATGTAGTCCCAGCTATATGACAGGCTGAAACAGGAGGATCACTTGAGCCCAGGAGGTTGAGGTTGCAACAAGCTGTGTTCCTATCACTGCACTCCCATGTGGACAGTGGAGAACAAAAAGGAGAAATATTACATAATTCCATTTATATGGGGTACATATAATGGGTTAATTCACAGAAACAAAAAGTAGAATAGAGTTTACCAGAGGCTGAGAGAAGAGAGGAATGGGGAGTAACTGTTTGATGGGTACAGAGTTTCTGTTACACACGATTTTAAAAGGGAGTGATGGGTGCACAACATTGTGAATGTACTTAATATGCCACTGATCACACACTTAAAAATGGTTAAAATGAGAAAATTTATGTTTTATATATTTTACAATAAAAAATATGATCTGAGGCGGGGCATGGTGGCTCACACCTATAATCCCAGCACTTTGGGAGGCCGAGGCGGTTGGATCACCTGAGGTCAGGAGTTCAAGTGCAGCCTGGCCAACATAGCAAAACCCCATCTCTACTAAAATATTTTTTAAATTAGCTGGGCATGGTGGTGTGCACCTGTAATCCTACCTACTTGGGAGGCTGAGGCAGGAGAATCGCTTGAGCCTGGGGAGGCAGAGGTTGCAGTGAGCCAAGACTGCACCACTGTACTACATCCTGGGTGACAGAGCAAGGCTCCATCTCAAAAAAAAAAAAAAAAAAAGGGAAAGGGAAAGGAGAGACAAATACCTAATACATTCAGGGCTTAAAGCATAGATGATAGGTTGACAGGTGCAGCAAACCACCATGGCATATGTATACCTATGTAACAAACCTCCATGTTCAGCACGTATATCCCAGAATTTAAAGTAAAATTTAAAAAAATTTAAAAACAAAAACAAAGATCTGAGGCCAGGCATAGTGGCTCACACCTGTATTGCCAGCACTTTGGGAGGCTGAGGTGGGTGAATAACCTGAAGTTAGGAGTTTGAGACCAGCCTGACCAACATGATGAAATCCCATCTCTACTAAAAATACAAAATTAGCCAGGCATGGTGGCGTGAGCCTGTAATCCCAGCTACTGGGGAGGCTGAGGCAGGAGAATCCCTTGAACCCAGAAGGCAGAGGTTGCAGTGAGCCAAGATTGTGCCTCTGCCCTCCAGCTTGGGCAACAGAGCGAAACTCTGTCTCAAAAAAAGGAAAGATCTGGAAAAAAAAAAAGTGAGGTAGGAGATTTTTTAAAGAATTAAATAGGCTGGGCACAGTGGCTCATGCCTGTAATCCCAGCACTTTGGGGAGGCTGAGGCAGGCGGATCACCTGAGGTCAGGAGTTGGAAATCAGCCCAACCAGCATGGAGAAACCCCATCTCTACTAAAATACAAAATTGGCTGGGCATGGTGGCGCATGCCCGTAATCCCAGCTACTCGGGAGGCTAGGGGAGGACAATTGCTTGAACCTGGGAGGCGGAGGGTGCCATGAGCCAAGATCATGCCATTGCACTCCAGCCTGGGCAACAAGAGTGAAACTCCATCTAAAATATAATAATAATAATTAAATAGAACAGCTAGAAGCAATATAAATCATAAATGAGGACGGTGATAAAGTTAAAATGTTTTAAGATTCTTACATTGAGAGGAGGGCAAAAATAATAATACTGAGCTTAATATGGCAAGGAGATAACGTTTTAATGTCTAAGGTAACTACTAAAAGAATGAAACAAGTATATAAACTTCCAAACTAAAAAGGAAGAAGAAAATGTAATGATAAGAAAATTGGGTTTCAACACGGTGAAACCCAATCTCTGCTAAAAATACAACCCCAAAGTAGGCAAGAAATCAATGAAAAAAAAAAAAAAAAAACAAGAACAGGCAGGACAACTAAAAAGCATGAAATCAGAATGTAAATTTAAACCTACATATATATCAGTAATTACCTTAAATATAAATGACCTAAATGTTCCAAAAGACAAAGATCTCCAGAGTGGACTGAGAAACAGAAATCTACCTATATACTGTTTACAACACACAAGTAATACATGAGGATGCAGAAAGTTTTTAAAGTAAAGGAAGAGGAATATATTTACAATGCAAATA